ACATGTCTATTGAACCAATTAACTATAAATCGTTTCATTCCGAACATTTTTCTTTTCACAGGGTTAGGTGTGTATACAGCTGCTGATACTGACTCTGCAGCTGACACGACCCTTGCTGCCATTATTGTTGTCTCATCTGGTGCCTGACATCCAGCAGATAGTCGCGACGACGTGGCCTTCAGATCGACATCATTCTCAATAATTCAACAGACTGTTAATTCAGATCGCGTCAATGAACGATATCACCGTTACTGTCATGCAAGAAGATCGTGGGATTGACTATCAGAGAGACAATGACCTTGGGACACCACTTTGTATGGGATATGCTCTATGTTTTGGTTTTAAGTTATGATGCACTGTTAAATCATTTCACAAACAAATAAAATCATGACTTTCCACAACAATACAATGAGTTGCCTTTTGATAAAGAAGACAGCATACTTTTACAACTACGTGTATGTGTATTTCATTAAGCGAAATATTTCCGTCCAAATACGCTTTGAGGTAAAAGGTTATGGTATCAAATGCCAAAGCCTTGAGGCGATTATATCAGTGTTAGATTGACAAGTATAGATAGAGCCGTCGGTAACAGTAAGTAGACCTGAAGACTAGAAATGCGTGAATTGGGTTAGTGCGGCTGTGAAAGGTATATCAGTTATTTTACGGCATTTCAGCTTGATGTGGGAGGACATTCCGAAGTGATACAGGTCTTCGACGCTAAATTACCACTTTGGTGAAACCCACGAGCACGGATGTGTTGCTTCCAAGCTTAGAAACACACGTAAAACTAGCAAGAGATCAGAAATATCAAGGACTTCTCTGTGGAGACTCATGATGGCTACTGCTTTGTTTCATACCAAAAACACTGACATCACATAACAATGCTTGGGGTTAAATCCAACAATTCTGGGCATCATGCTATAGCTACATGTATATGTAGAACAAGATCAGCATGTCTCCGTCTCAAACACATCGTATAAAAACACCAAAGCCTTTTTTCCTTGATACTTATACAACTTCCCGAAAAATGAGTGTCCACTAGCCTATTATCAAAATCTGTTTTCCACCCTTCAATCTGGATTCGAACTCAGGGCTAACACATCCTGTCGCGGCAAAACTTAACAGGCCAAAACATACCCCAGAGATCCCACAGCTATTTAATACTGACTGCATTTGATATGACCAAGGATATACATGAGCGTTCGTTGTTTTAGCAGTATTGATGTACTCATATAGTATGGAGTTGTACAAGAACAAGTTATGTGACAAAGTAAATCATTTTCTTAGCAATATTAATTGAAAGAAGAAATCCACCTAGTTCCCCCTAAACCACGGAATTAGAAATGGAAGATTTTAATCCTACTGTAATTTTACAATTTTTTTAGTTTTATATTTCTGTAAAACAATACTTGTACTTGTCATTTCAGTCTCTCCATTGTGTTTTTATGATTTGTTGTTTAAAGCTGCCCTTACAGGTGAACACTGTGTTTCAATGTGATTAATCGATCAATTGACACTCTGTTATACATAATGACATCACACTATATAACGCTTGCATGTTGCATGAGTGACTATAGTGACATGAAATATGACCCATCTGGTAGTGGTGTATGTATTTATTACAGGTCACCTCCGTTGAGAATATTTCCTCCCACTGATCGTTTCATCTTCTTGCCTAATATTGTCCACGGTATATACATAGAACCAAGTGTTATCTTTAAATGTTTAAAGCAATATGCAAAATGTGGTTTATATGTTTGTTTGTTGTTTATCGTCGCTATCAGTACTATTCCAACTCTATGACGGCAGTGTGTAACTAATCGAGTATGGACAAAACAATGCAGCCATTGTCGTCATGAGCATCGATCTTCGTAATTGGGATGCGTTGACATGCAATCAACCAAAGTCACCGAAGCTGACTACCTAATCCATATAGGCTTCTTACGAGAAGGTTTTCTTTGCAGATGAAGTTAATTGAAAGCATAATTATGACCTCTTTAGTAAATAAAAGTCACACTTTTAACAACTGCCTTGATCACATCAGTAATACTACTTCCTGCAGGAAGCGTGTCAACCTGACTATATCAAAGTGTAGTTTTCACAATTGCCATTTCATGCCTGCTTTTCTGTGCTAAAATATGAAAGGACTATTGTACAAATCGATACTTCAATAAGGGGATGTTTTACAAACTCAAAATCCGGGTTCCTAAAACGCAATCTCCTGTCAAATTTGCAACTTCTGTCTTTTTTACACACATCGTTTCAAGACTAATTATTGCTTGACAATGGTATAACGACCTATACTGAAACGGCACTATTACATCATAAAAAAGGAAACTGTTATCCATAAGTTGTGTCTACTTAACTTATTGTCCCTTCACAAGTTTATTATGATGCTATATTGATATATACAGGTAGATAGGCCAAGCCAGATAAGCTGTTTTACAATGCGTTTGCAGAGAATAAACGAAAGATTATTACCTAATTACTGTTGTTGCGGTTGATAAATGTTGTGTTAGTACAGTTGAACCATCTTGTAGGATTGATCTATGTAAGGTCCAAGGCTTTGGGTAGGAAAACTCTTTGATCACTGTTCATGACCTCCTTCTTTAGTCTAATTTGATGTCTTCTAACTTGCAGCTTCCACTTTCCCAAGCTATGATCAATGTTAATTGATTGTCCGGATCTTGGTTTCAATTTTGCCCTTTGAAGCAGTGACAGTTTCTTGACATTAAGCTGTGATAGTGTGGATTTCATGTCTAGAAGGTCAATGGTGAATTATTTTTGTTCCTTCATTTGAGGCCGATTTTTTAATTGTTGGGACAGCAACGAACACAAAATCTACTGTGTCTCTTTGAAACCTGCCTGTCAAACCCATTCAGTATGATATACGCACCATGTAGCTATTTTCCGGTATTAAGGACGTCGAGAAAAGTAATTGAACTTGTCAGCAATGACATTTGACTCACATACGCAACATAATCGTTCGTAAAATGTAAAATAAAAAGTCACGAATCATGACAGCAATTATGTATGTTTCAGATGGTACTGTGGTAAAATGGCATGACTATTTTAACGAGTAGCTTAGATTTCAGTCAATCTGTTGTAAGAGGCGACTAAATGGATCGGGTGGTCAGGCTCAGCTACTTGGTTGATTACATGTCATCGTATCACAAATGCATGGGTCGGCGACTGGATTATCTAGTTCAGACTCGTTATTTACAGAACCGCCCGTCATACAGTTGGAATATTGCTGAGTGGGAGTTAAACAAGCAATAAATACGCTTGTGTAACACTACGCACAGCTGCCTCTCATTGCCGCGACAGGATGTGATGGCCCTGAGTTCGAATCCATATTCAAGGGTGGAAAACAGATTCGGATAGAGGCTCGTGGACACTCATGTTTCGTTAATATTTATAAGTATTAAAATTGACAGAGATGTGACAATAATTTAAATAGTACCTAGAGTCGTGATCTTTTACGTCCACCTTCTGTTATATATTATCAATATTTTCTTTCCTTAAAACATGCTAATCTTGCTCCACCTATAGTTTTAGCATGATGCCTAGAATTGCTGAATTCACCTCAAAGCATTGTTATGTGATGTCATTACTTTCTGTATGAAATACACCAGTGGCCATAATGAGTCTCTACGGAAGAATCATTAATAATTCCGATCTCTTACTAACTGTACCGTGCTTATGTTTCCAAGCTTGGAAGCACCACATCCGTGCACGTGGGTTTCAGCAAAGTGGTAATTAAGTGTCAAGGACCTGTGTCACTTCGGAATGTCCTCCCACATCAAGCTGAAACGCCGTGAAATAACTGATATACCTTTCAAAGCGGCATTAACCCAATTCACTACCGACGACCTTAGGCTATACATGTCAATCTAACACTGATATGTTCGCCTCCAGGCTTTGACATTTGATACGATAACCTTTAATCTTAAAGCATACTTGGACGGCTATATTTCACTTAACGAAGTACACGTACACGTAGTTGTAAAAGTATGTTGTCTTCTTTATCAAAAGTCAAGTCATAGTACTGTTGTGGAGGGTCATTTTATTTGTTTCTAAAATGACTTAACAGTACATCATAACTTAAAACCAAAATATAGGGCATATCCCAGCCAAAGTGGTTTCCCAAGGTCATTGTCTCTCTGATAGTTAATCCCACTATCTTCTTGCATGACAGTAACGCTGATATCGTTCATTGACGTTATCTGAATCAACAGTCTGTCGTGACAATCTGTTGGATATCAGGCACCAGATGAAACACCAACATGGTCAGCAAGGGTCGTGTTAGCTGCAGATTCAGCTTTCTGCAGCTGCATACACACCTAACCCTGTGAATAGAAACAATGTTCGGAATGAAACGATTTATAGTTAATTGGTTCAATATACATGTACCAAAGTTGTTCTTTTGATGAAACATGCCTATAAGTTGTGTATATTAATGCATTAGTTCTTTCACATACACCACAGGTTACGGCTGGGAATTTCTTTTGAAGCATCATACATTTGACTTCGCTTAGCATTTAACATGTTTATTTTTTACCAGCTATCGTCAATTGATTTCCTGTAGCGACATTTACATAAACAACCATGCGTCTTTATTTATCCGGGTTTCATCAATACGGAATAAAAATATACTTCAATCACATGGAATAACACATTGTGTTCCATACATGCATATGCATATTTTTTTTTTTAAATCCATTATTTAGTAGATATAGTCGGAATCGTACAATCGACTCTGCGTTTAGCAATCATTATTTTTGCACATTGAAACTAAGGGTTTGTCACGTTCTAAACTTCTGTATTTAAGTTTAACCTTATTGCACGCTGTTTGTTATACAGCTGACTAATTGTTCATTGTCCTCCATTCACGTCACTAAAATGTCTTTGTCATTATTTAAGATCATACGACATTCTATGTAACACTATTACATCAATTGTGTAACACCTGTCATGGTGGTTGCATAAGTAAAAATCCTAACGCAATTTATGACCTAACTGGCAGTGATGTGTACATGTATATAAGGCAAACCCGCTGATGATACTTCATAGTTTGTAGCATTCACCTTCTTCTTTACCATTCGGCAAATATACACACGTAAGTACATGTACATTTAAGAGCACGGTCATTTTAGGATTTTGGTCTAAAATCATGAGTCTATATATGTAATTTGATTCTTACACCTCTTGTGCTTTGATTTAAAAATTTCATCCCGATATTTCAACGGTTTATCACCCTATAGGGTACTGATGGGTCAATGGTTCACATACCATAGCTCTCAAGTACCAAGTCTAGGTTTGTATTTGTAAAGTCTTATAACAATACTTTATACAGTGATAACTAACACCATATGTTAATGTGTATAGATAGCCTAACGTGAACGTGAATATGGTTAAATTCCAATGAGTAGCCAATGAATATTGTTTTTATTCTACAGTTTCAACAATGAAGGTCCTGATCGTTGCCGTTATGTGCGTTGTTGCCCTAGCAACAACCAACGCCACCTTCCATCCTCCACTGGGTGTTGGATTTAATCCATTTGGCATTCCTCCATTGGGGCCTATAATCTCTCCAAACGGCTTTCGTTTTCATCCATTCGGCTTTGGTCTTCATCAATTCGGTCTTAATATCCATCCATTTGTGGTGAGCTGAGTGTTTCAATGATAAGCAAATACTTACACAAAATGCTTTACAAACAAATGTTTACCAATATCCTTTTTATGTAGAACAAGTTGTAGCTAAATCAACATTCGCATGTTCTTTCAATGAACGAAATTGTACCTGGCTATATTAGAACAGGTAACAAAACTTCATTTGTAACCAACTAGGTTAATAGATCAGGTTAAAAGTGTAGTGAACGTCATGCATAGTGTAAATACTTTGATATCGTATTCCTAGTACGGCATGTATTATTATACACGTTAAAATATACACAATTTATAGACATGTTTCATCACAAGAATAACTTTGGTACATGTCTATTGAACCAATTAACTATAAATCGTTTCATTCCGAACATTTTTCTTTTCACAGGGTTAGGTGTGTATACAGCTGCTGATACTGACTCTGCAGCTGACACGACCCTTGCTGCCATTATTGTTGTCTCATCTGGTGCCTGACATCCAGCAGATAGTCGCGACGACGTGGCCTTCAGATCGACACCATTCTCAATAATTCAACAGACTGTTAATTCAGATCGCGTCAATGAACGATATCACCGTTACTGTCATGAAAGAAGATCGTGGGATTGACTATCAGAGAGACAATGACCTTGGGACACCACTTTGTATGGGATATGCTCTATGTTTTGGTTTTAAGTTATGATGCACTGTTAAATCATTTCACAAACAAATAAAATCATGACTTTCCACAACAATACAATGAGTTGCCTTTTGATAAAGAAGACAGCATACTTTTACAACTACGTGTATGTGTATTTCATTAAGCGAAATATTTCCGTCCAAATACGCTTTGAGGTAAAAGGTTATGGTATCAAATGCCAAAGCCTTGAGGCGATTATATCAGTGTTAGATTGACAAGTATAGATAGAGCCGTCGGTAACAGTAAGTAGACCTGAAGACTAGAAATGCGTGAATTGGGTTAGTGCGGCTGTGAAAGGTATATCAGTTATTTTACGGCATTTCAGCTTGATGTGGGAGGACATTCCGAAGTGATACAGGTCTTCGACGCTAAATTACCACTTTGGTGAAACCCACGAGCACGGATGTGTTGCTTCCAAGCTTAGAAACACACGTAAAACTAGCAAGAGATCAGAAATATCAAGGACTTCTCTGTGGAGACTCATGATGGCTACTGCTTTGTTTCATACCAAAAACACTGACATCACATAACAATGCTTGGGGTTAAATCCAACAATTCTGGGCATCATGCTATAGCTACATGTATATGTAGAACAAGATCAGCATGTCTCCGTCTCAAACACATCGTATAAAAACACCAAAGCCTTTTTTCCTTGATACTTATACAACTTCCCGAAAAATGAGTGTCCACTAGCCTATTATCAAAATCTGTTTTCCACCCTTCAATCTGGATTCGAACTCAGGGCTAACACATCCTGTCGCGGCAAAACTTAACAGGCCAAAACATACCCCAGAGATCCCACAGCTATTTAATACTGACTGCATTTGATATGACCAAGGATATACATGAGCGTTCGTTGTTTTAGCAGTATTGATGTACTCATATAGTATGGAGTTGTACAAGAACAAGTTATGTGACAAAGTAAATCATTTTCTTAGCAATATTAATTGAAAGAAGAAATCCACCTAGTTCCCCCTAAACCACGGAATTAGAAATGGAAGATTTTAATCCTACTGTAATTTTACAATTTTTTTAGTTTTATATTTCTGTAAAACAATACTTGTACTTGTCATTTCAGTCTCTCCATTGTGTTTTTATGATTTGTTGTTTAAAGCTGCCCTTACAGGTGAACACTGTGTTTCAATGTGATTAATCGATCAATTGACACTCTGTTATACATAATGACATCACACTATATAACGCTTGCATGTTGCATGAGTGACTATAGTGACATGAAATATGACCCATCTGGTAGTGGTGTATGTATTTATTACAGGTCACCTCCGTTGAGAATATTTCCTCCCACTGATCGTTTCATCTTCTTGCCTAATATTGTCCACGGTATATACATAGAACCAAGTGTTATCTTTAAATGTTTAAAGCAATATGCAAAATGTGGTTTATATGTTTGTTTGTTGTTTATCGTCGCTATCAGTACTATTCCAACTCTATGACGGCAGTGTGTAACTAATCGAGTATGGACAAAACAATGCAGCCATTGTCGTCATGAGCATCGATCTTCGTAATTGGGATGCGTTGACATGCAATCAACCAAAGTCACCGAAGCTGACTACCTAATCCATATAGGCTTCTTACGAGAAGGTTTTCTTTGCAGATGAAGTTAATTGAAAGCATAATTATGACCTCTTTAGTAAATAAAAGTCACACTTTTAACAACTGCCTTGATCACATCAGTAATACTACTTCCTGCAGGAAGCGTGTCAACCTGACTATATCAAAGTGTAGTTTTCACAATTGCCATTTCATGCCTGCTTTTCTGTGCTAAAATATGAAAGGACTATTGTACAAATCGATACTTCAATAAGGGGATGTTTTACAAACTCAAAATCCGGGTTCCTAAAACGCAATCTCCTGTCAAATTTGCAACTTCTGTCTTTTTTACACACATCGTTTCAAGACTAATTATTGCTTGACAATGGTATGACGACCTATACTGAAACGGCACTATTACATCATAAAAAAGGAAACTGTTATCCATAAGTTGTGTCTACTTAACTTATTGTCCCTTCACAAGTTTATTATGATGCTATATTGATATATACAGGTAGATAGGCCAAGCCAGATAAGCTGTTTTACAATGCGTTTGCAGAGAATAAACGAAAGATTATTACCTAATTACTGTTGTTGCGGTTGATAAATGTTGTGTTAGTACAGTTGAACCATCTTGTAGGATTGATCTATGTAAGGTCCAAGGCTTTGGGTAGGAAAACTCTTTGATCACTGTTCATGACCTCCTTCTTTAGTCTAATTTGATGTCTTCTAACTTGCAGCTTCCACTTTCCCAAGCTATGATCAATGTTAATTGATTGTCCGGATCTTGGTTTCAATTTTGCCCTTTGAAGCAGTGACAGTTTCTTGACATTAAGCTGTGATAGTGTGGATTTCATGTCTAGAAGGTCAATGGTGAATTATTTTTGTTCCTTCATTTGAGGCCGATTTTTTAATTGTTGGGACAGCAACGAACACAAAATCTACTGTGTCTCTTTGAAACCTGCCTGTCAAACCCATTCAGTATGATATACGCACCATGTAGCTATTTTCCGGTATTAAGGACGTCGAGAAAAGTAATTGAACTTGTCAGCAATGACATTTGACTCACATACGCAACATAATCGTTCGTAAAATGTAAAATAAAAAGTCACGAATCATGACAGCAATTATATATGTTTCAGATGGTACTGTGGTAAAATGGCATGACTATTTTAACGAGCAGCTTAGATTTCAGTCAATCTGTTGTAAGAGGCGACTAAATGGATCGGGTGGTCAGGCTCAGCTACTTGGTTGATTACATGTCATCGTATCACAAATGCATGGGTCGGCGACTGGATTATCTAGTTCAGACTCGTTATTTACAGAACCGCCCGTCATACAGTTGGAATATTGCTGAGTGGGAGTTAAACAAGCAATAAATACGCTTGTGTAACACTACGCACAGCTGCCTCTCATTGCCGCGACAGGATGTGATGGCCCTGAGTTCGAATCCATATTCAAGGGTGGAAAACAGATTCGGATAGAGGCTCGTGGACACTCATGTTTCGTTAATATTTATAAGTATTAAAATTGACAGAGATGTGACAATAATTTAAATAGTACCTAGAGTCGTGATCTTTTACGTCCACCTTCTGTTATATATTATCAATATTTTCTTTCCTTAAAACATGCTAATCTTGCTCCACCTATAGTTTTAGCATGATGCCTAGAATTGCTGAATTCACCTCAAAGCATTGTTATGTGATGTCAATACTTTCTGTATGAAATACACCAGTGGTCATAATGAGTCTCTACGGAAGAATCATTAATAATTCCGATCTCTTACTAACTGTGCTTATGTTTCCAAGCTTGGAAGCACCACATCCGTGCACGTGGGTTTCAGCAAAGTGGTAATTAAGTGTCAAGGACCTGTGTCACTTCGGAATGTCCTCCCACATCAAGCTGAAACGCCGTGAAATAACTGATATACCTTTCAAAGCGGCATTAACCCAATTCACTACCGACGACCTTAGGCTATACATGTCAATCTAACACTGATATGTTCGCCTCCAGGCTTTGACATTTGATACGATAACCTTTAATCTTAAAGCATACTTGGACGGCTATATTTCACTTAACGAAGTACACGTACACGTAGTTGTAAAAGTATGTTGTCTTCTTTATCAAAAGTCAAGTCATAGTACTGTTGTGGAGGGTCATTTTATTTGTTTCTAAAATGACTTAACAGTACATCATAACTTAAAACCAAAATATAGGGCATATCCCAGCCAAAGTGGTTTCCCAAGGTCATTGTCTCTCTGATAGTTAATCCCACTATCTTCTTGCATGACAGTAACGCTGATATCGTTCATTGACGTTATCTGAATCAACAATCTGTCGTGACAATCTGTTGGATATCAGGCACCAGATGAAACACCAACATGGTCAGCAAGGGTCGTGTTAGCTGCAGATTCAGCTTTCTGCAGCTGCATACACACCTAACCCTGTGAATAGAAACAATGTTCGGAATGAAACGATTTATAGTTAATTGGTTCAATATACATGTACCAAAGTTGTTCTTTTGATGAAACATGCCTATAAGTTGTGTATATTAATGCATTAGTTCTTTCACATACACCACAGGTTCCGGCCGGGAATTTCTTTTGAAGCATCATACATTTGACTTCGCTTAGCATTTAACATGTTTATTTTTTACCAGCTATCGTCAATTGATTTCCTGTAGCGACATTTACATAAACAACCATGCGTCTTTATTTATCCGGGTTTCATCAATACGGAATAAAAATATACTTCAATCACATGGAATAACACATTGTGTTCCATACATGCATATGCATATTTTTTTTTAAAATCCATTATTTAGTAGATATAGTCGGAATCGTACAATCGACTCTGCGTTTAGCAATCATTATTTTTGCACATTGAAACTAAGGGTTTGTCACGTTCTAAACTTCTGTATTTAAGTTTAACCTTATTGCACGCTGTTTGTTATACAGCTGACTAATTGTTCATTGTCCTCCATTCACGTCACTAAAATGTCTTTGTCATTATTTAAGATCATACGACATTCTATGTAACACTATTACATCAATTGTGTAACACCTGTCATGGTGGTTGCATAAGTAAAAATCCTAACGCAATTTATGACCTAACTGGCAGTGATGTGTACATGTATATAAGGCCACCCCGCTGATGATACTTCATTGTTTGTAGCATTCACCTTCTTCTTTACCATTCGGCAAATATACACACGTAAGTACATGTACATTTAAGAGCACGGTCATTTTAGGATTTTGGTCTAAAATCATGAGTCTATATATGTAATTTGATTCTTACACCTCTTGTGCTTTGATTTAAAAATTTCATCCCGATATTTCAACGGTTTATCACCCTATAGGGTACTGATGGGTCAATGGTTCACATACCATAGCTCTCAAGTACCAAGTCTAGGTTTGTATTTGTAAAGTCTTATAACAATACTTTATACAGTGATAACTAACACCATATGTTAATGTGTATAGATAGCCTAACGTGAACGTGAAT